ATTTTCTCAGTGCAGAAACCAACGGGTGACATCACGGTAGCTACGTCCATCTTTTATACAGTCTATGATTACTACTTGTGCCATGGATGGATCAGTTTTGAGGAGCATAATGTTTGTATGTATGTTATCTACATACTGGAATGAATTATGTTCCACTGTCTTCACAGCAACAATACGCTGAAGCCCTGAAAGATGCAGACCCATGCACCATGATTCATAGGACAAAAGGTTTATTCTGGCTGAAAATGGCATAAACAAGGGACCAAAACAGTTAAAATGTTTTGTTTTGAGATGTTAATGACGGATTTTTACCTGTTTCTTTGTTTTTTTTGGGGGGAGGGGTTTTTACTGAAAATGCCATGTCCAAAAATATTCATTCTCAGTTATCAGAGACATTCTCAAAGGTTGGGCCGGTCCACCGTGTTCATATTGTTCTCTGCTGACCATCTCTTTACCACTCTGGCTGCATGGTTCAGAAGGTCCAGTGCTACTGAAGACCAAGTTCTTCTGCTGACTGCCTGATGTTTTCCTCCAGAAGCTCAATGTGGTCTTCCTTTTCCATGAGGCTGTTATCTTTGATAGGGTTGTCTGGTTCTTCAACTGACAACACCCTGAAAGCATCACATTCTCACCCCCGTGCTCAACCGTAGGGACGCTGTTCCTTGAATGGAATACTTCTGCTTTCTTTCATCACTGTGTCCAAACAATGTTGATGACCAAAAGCTTTTCTTTTTTTTTTTGTCTTTGTGAGCTGTCATGTACAAGTTGAGTCCTCCTTGGTCTGTTTCCATGCAGACCAGCCTGATTCTCTGTCAGCTGGAGTGTTTGAGAAGAACTGCTCACATTCATCAGGAAGGTCTTGGTAGTGATCCTTGGAGTCTTCCCAGCTTCTCACACGGATATTACCACCAGTGACGGGATCACTTTTGGCCTCCTGCCTCAACCTTTGAAGTTTTTCACAGTGTGGAACTCCTTGTACTTTGATGATGCTTTACCCTGTGGCCACTGAAACTTGACAACATTTGGATGTGGCATCGTGGTCTTATCCTGTCTTTTCAGCAGCTGACAGGTAAGAACTACCACGAACATGTGAAATGATACAGCAGCTGCATTTTCTCAGGAGTTTGTATCAGTTTCAAGGGGTATGAATAATTCTGAAATGGTTCAGATGTGTTCATCACAATGTCTGCTCATCTTTTTAAACTTGTTTGTTATTTCCAGCCAGATAAAGACTACTGCTCAAATACATCACTTTAAAACTTGACATGAGAATGAAAACTTTAGCTGTGGACTGTCTGCTACAGAACTCTTTCAGGTGATCTAACAGGAAGATGCAGTGGAGGTCAACAACTCTCAGCTGGCAGTGGGTGAGAACAGCTACAGATTTCAAAAGAAGTACTGAATGCACCATAGTGTACTCACTACACACTGTAATTGGTAATTGTTTTACAGCCGACACAGAACACCTGTGAAAACACCTTTTACATAATGTTTTCATTGTTTTGTCAGGAAGGAACTGGCAATTATTTTCAGTTTATCCTTTCCTTGTGATCGTTTCATCAGAGTGGCCGAGCCCTTGGCACCCGCTGGAAATCTCTCTCTGCTCAACTGTTCTCTAACAGGGCCTTTCTTGGCTGAAAAATGTTCTCCTTTCAGCTTCCAGTTACATTAAAGGATTAATCTTGTTAGTTGTGATTTGGGAGGCTTTAGATTTGTGTAGCAATATATCAGCTGAGTTTAAGTGACTTCTACAGCAGCTGCTACAGCCGGGCGGAGCAGCAGGAAGCCTGAGACAACACAACACTCGCTGCTAAAGGTTTTGTACTTTGAAAACGCTAAATCTAATGATTTAAGCACATCAGCTGTAGCTTCAGTTAGACAGGAAATATGCACTCTGTAATGTTTATGAGTTTAGGAAGGGGACCACAGTGGCCCCTGACAAGGAGATCATGTGTAGCAGGAGTTTGTATGTTTATCACGACACCTTAGTCTACTACAGAAAGGATTGCTGGGTTTATAATGAACCTAACAATACAGCCTATTACCATCCTGATTTTCCAGTTGAAATTTGTTGAATTCGGTCAATATGTCAATGAGGCCAAATGGTAAATGGTAAAAGGACAGCACTTATATCGCGCTTTTCTACCTTAGCAGTACTCAAAGCGCTTTACAATGTGTTTCTCATTCACCCATTCACACACATTCATACACCAATGGTGGCAGAGCTGCCATGCAAGGTGCTGCCAGTGATTGGGAGCAACTTCCGGTTCAGTGTCTTGCCCAAGGACACTTTGACTGTGGAGGGGCGGGGGATCGAACCACCAACCTTACAATCAGAGGACAACCCGCTCTATCACCTGAGCCACAGCCACCCAAACAGAAAAGCATTTCATTCATATCAATTAGACGTTATTATGTGTTTATGTGTTTCCATCTCTTGTTTGACTGAGGAAAACACCCGTATAGAGGTGGTTGGATCTTCATAACCTCTCACTCTATCCTGGGCTTTGCAGCTCCAACTGAGATGTGACCATCCTGCAATTCTTGCTCTTGGTTTTTGCGGATTCGTTTTTTTCTGCTTAGTTTCCTGTTTGGGTTGGGGGAACGTCTGGGTCTGACATCCCAGTGCCTAGTGGCCTGTGTACCTTATCTTCAGTTTGTTAAAGTTCATCCCTTTTTATCGATTAAACTCCTAAAAACTCATCATTTTGTAAATGTAAATTTGCATATTCCATGATTTATTTGTTTATTTTTTTATGAACGTAATCTCCTCCTGCCTTGAACTGTCCTAGTTGTAGCTCTACACTGTTCCTCAGAATGTGCAGATCTATGAAGTTTCCGTGTCGATTCTCCGAAAATGCAGGTTGCCAAACGCATGATCAGCATTTTTGTTCGAATCAGTAAATTGTATTCCTACTCACTCCTGGACCCAAATGCAGGTTACATTTGTCAATAGTTGACCAACTTTGTGGATACTACACACAGTGCATTCCCTGTGTGACGCCATTGCATTTGGATTAAGCCAGAAATTCTATAAAGTGAGAGGACATTACATGGTATTAGTTACATTGACAGCAGGGTCCTGAGATGCACGCAACAAAATACCACCGAACATATTCCCGATCAATAGCAAAGGCATGAGACGAAACTGACCCTGAACAACAGAAGCTGCATTTACATCTGACAAGTCACCTGTTTGTCGTTTCGAGACTCTTTAAAACTGGTTTGGAAAGGTGATCTATTCAGCTTAAAACTTTATCTGTGCAGACGGACAGACGGTGTTGGCTGTTACCTCCTCATCCTTGGCATTGAAGCTCGGTCCATCCAGCTTGTTGAGAGCCATCATGACGGCCACCATGTCTTTACCGTTCATAATGGGGACGGCGAGGACGTTCTTGGTCTGATACTCGGTCAGCTCGTCAACAAAGTTGCTGAAATTAGCGTTCTGGGAAGAGAAGAAGAGAAAGAGAATCACATATTTGACTGTCTGTAGTTGGCAGGTCTTTATCCCTGCCCTCTTTAAAACTTCCAGAGTCAGCTTTGATGAACACGCTGCTCTCATCCATAAATGCTGCAAGCGAAGGCTTTCCATTATCCACTAAGTGAATGCTCTTTCTGCTGCTCCCCACCTACCTCTCCTCCTGGACAGCAGGGGTCATCAATTGTGCTCCTTCAGGGGTGTAACACAGTGAGAGCAGCTCATTAACTGCCAAGAAGGAACAAAAATCTGCCTAGAGACCAGATTTGTGTGTGACAAGGACTAAGAATTGGATCTTAGCTCCGTATTGGGTGAGACTGAAATGAAAATCACACAGGCAGGGTGCAGATGAGCAGTCAGAGAGTCAGTGGACATGGTTACTGTATATGTCGATGTAGATTGCATGTTGAATAGAAGCATAAGGGAACAAACTATGACTTCTCTACGGTTTTATCTGCTTCCTGAGGAGCTTCACTTTCACCCACTGGAGAAAACTCTTCTGCATTATGTACAACTTTCATCCTCCATCCTCAGAGGCCTTAATAGTGCTGCTGTCACATAAAGAGCAAAGAAAACTGAACAGCAGCCTTCTTCTGCCAAACCGCAGATGGACATCATGGAAGTGTAAAAAGAGCGCTTTTCTTGGCCTAATGACCTCGTTTACACGACGTATGACACGTTTCTTAAAGTGTACACCTGTTGCCCTTCTTTTGTCCATCTGTTTAAAAATCAGTGATGAAATTTGATCTGCTCAAACTAACCTGCAATGACATTATGTGTATTTTTTTTTATCTCTTAAGTTGTTTTTGTTCCCTCCTCATAGCTTGAGTTGCGGTACTGGTGTGGGAAACGACAGAGAAAATCATTATGAGGGAGACCAGGCTGATCCTGGATCAGCACCTTACAGCAGCTGCTCCAACTGCAGCCTGACACAGCTTACAAATAAACCTATTCCAAAGATCTGGGCAGTTTGACAGCTTGTTATTGGGGGACCTTTGGCCCCCTAAAGCCCAGAGAGGTCCTCATCTTATTGTTAAGCTCAGCGGAAGTTTGTCTCTGCTCAGAAGCTTTATACTTACAAAGCATCATCTGAGGACGAGTTATGTCTTAATATAAACATGTATATAAACAGTTACTTTTGAACTGATGTAGTTCAGCATTGTTAACTACCCAGGTGGCTTTTGCTGGTATTCCAAAACAGAAACTCTACAGCTCACTTTTTTAATACAAATTCTGAACACAAATTAGTTTAATTTTTTTTTTTTAAATCTTCTTCCTTGGCTACTTTCTTGACACACTAAGTGGATTTCAGGCTGTTTCTGTTCCAAGAAACAATGATGAAAGCAAAACAATAAAGTGTAACAGAATAGATTAAAGGTGTGTTATAGTGCTGAGTCTGTGAAAACAGCTCAGGGCCTGTGTGACCTCTGGGAGTAATCTGGGATCGCTCTAATTCAGGACAGATTAACCCGCTTCATGTGCAGCCTCTCCACCTTCCTCACACACAAACACACACACACACACTCCCCAAGTAACCACACCACAAACAACAGTCTAACTCTGTAAATCAAGTGATCGTTAAATTCACTTTGATGGAGGAAAAAAGATAGATGACAAAGGAGAACTGAGGCCAACTGCTGGTCACCACACAATCCTCGTCTTCTACCAAGTGTACAAGCCAGGATTGTGATGGAAATAGCGTGCAGAGAGACAGTGATTCCCAGTCTCTGCAACACTATAAGGCCTTCCTCTGTGCATTAGCATCATAATGCAAGCCAATTATATGGAAACACTAGCTGTTCCTTCGCTGCCACTGGGGAAACTACGGTTTGGAGGCTTTGATCGTTCCAGTTGCCGCGTCTCCCATCACGCTTTCATGTATTTGTGCGAAGCTGCGGCTTGACGGACGGAAGGTTTCGAATGGCACAGTGTTTGTTCTATGGTGGCTCACAATGAAGGCACAACAGGCCGGCCTGGCAGCAGAACTGCTAGATAAAAACCAAACGGGAACAATCAGCCTGGTCTGTTTTGTTCGTACATCAGCAGCTAAGCTTTCTAATCTCCCATGAAAGGATGTGATTGAACTGATACCGAGGAGCGCTTGTAATCCATCAGTTATGTGGAGTGGGCTGCTGCCTTATTAAGTGTAAATGTCACAATAACAGTTGGCACAGGTACAGGCGGGGGAGGGGGGGCGATGTGGGTGGAAGTGAAGGTAGCGGACCTGCAGTAGCATGATGGTTACATGAGAATAAGCTTGCCAGCTATTTTCAAATGTCAAAGGTATTGGCTGTAATGAGATTGGGCTGGCTTTGGTGAGAGGGAATTAGTGACGGGGACACTGTGGAGTCAGGCCACCCTCTGGTGGTTAAACAGACACAGAGCAACAGGAGGAGGCAGCATCTGCAGGTTTCTTTAACACTTTTCCCCTCCCTTTTGTTTTTGAAAAAAATAAAAATAGAAAATCAAGTTTCAACCCATTTATATTTTTTTTGTTTAATTAATAATAGCAACATACCGGAGATTTATTCTCAAATGGGCTGGCCAGAGGAAATACATGCATGCATGTAAATGAAACCAGATAAAAACACATGTACAGTCATCCTCAAAAGTATTCATGCCCTTCCATTAAAGAGAAGGAAAAATTCACAATTGTCCCTCAAATAACTAGAAACTGAAAAAAGTAATAATAAATAAAAATTTGCCAAATTATAATTTAGTGAAATAAGACATTGCTTTTGAATTGTGGGTTGAAAAGAATATTTTAAAAAATATTAATAATAACTGTCCCAGACAAATGAGAGCACTTTGCTGGTGAGCAGTTGAGCAGTGGGCCAGAATACCTGTCAACAGGTGCAGAAGTCTGACTGAGAGTTACAGAAAACACTCGATTGCAGTGATTGGCTCAAAGGATTGTTCAACAAAATATTAGTTTACAGGTCCCATCATGCTTGTTTGCTTGTGTTTTTTTGGTTGTTTTTATATATATACATATTTCTGTTGAACCACAATTCAAAAGCAATGTCATGTTTTTCATGAAATTTTTATATTTATTATTACTTTTGTCAATTTCAACTTATTTCAGTGACAGCTGTTTTTTTTTTCCCTTCTTTAATGGAGGGTGTGAATACATTTGAGTAGGACTGTATGTCCTTAAAATTACAATATTTGAAAAAAGATTTTATCCTATATCTAAAAATGTATATTTACTTTGTTGTTTTCTTAGATGTGCTAGATGTGTTAGGTACTTAGGAGCATTTTCTGTCTTTCTATGACAGCAAAGAGGTCAAAAGGCAGTTCAGGGTGACACATCTGCTCAAGTAGCCTTAATCTACATGTGACTCAAAACACACACAAACAGCAGCTACGTGTACCTGTGATACATCAGGAACGTTGACCATCTTCTTGCTGGTGGCCACGTGGCCCACAATGCCCATGTCCAGCGGGTACACGATTTCACTGTCAGGTGCCACCAGGCAGTCCTCAAACACCGAATCTTTATCCACATTAAATAACCTGAAGGAAAAACAAAACAAAAGCTTAACTTAATCTGCAACTGAAGTAGATTGTCTTGACTGGTACTTTGTACATTTATAAGTGAAAAAACGTGTTGTCTTTTGGGTAAAAAGCCCCTCAACCGTACCGAGGAGCCCCTGAACAAGCCGACTACATTCAAAATCATCACCGGGGACGCAACGAGTGGCAGTCTAGGGTGAGTGCTGCATGAATATAAAGATTGTACATCAGGAATACACTTCGCTGACATTCCCTCATTTAACTATGCTTCGAGGGGTGGTTGTCCATAAGATAGAATAGAATAGAAGATTTTATTGTCAATTTCTCTGTACATCCAGGACATACAGAGAAACCGAAAAGATGTTTGTCTCTCACCTTTGTAGCAGTGCCGTGAAAAAGGATCAAAATGTTGTATGAATAAAGGAAAGCTAAATAATATATATAAAAATCCACCTATGTACACTGGCTGTAGTGCAATATAGTAAAAAAAAAAAATACTAGAATGCGAATGTGGTTTAAAAAAAAAAGGCATCAGGGGTCATTCATTGTGATTCCCAAAGGTCTGTCGGAAAATACAAGCAACGTGCCCCATGCTGGGCAGGAAAATGACAGGAATTTTGACTTAGTAAAGTAATGAATAGGAAACAGGCAGTCTGATGTTTAAACGATAGACTGTAAGGATGTGAAGCCTCGCAGATGAATGGAACAAGGCATCAGAAATAAACTCTGACAACCTGAGTTCCAGAGTCATGATGTGTTTTCTACAAGAAAGTTAATAATCAAGTTCTGCCAGTTTAATTTATCCAGTAGCTTTTTGTCTACAATGTGGCCTTTTTGTTTCCCTGAGCAGCTTGTGTTTCATGTGATCAGTATCTGATTATGTGTCGGTTTCTACAGACACATGGAATGCATTGCAAACAAATATGGATTTAAGTATGTTTTTAACACTGCTACAAACTCTGGTTTAGTTGTTACCCTCCCTTTGTCAGAAAGAGTAACATTTGAAACTTTCAAAGAAAAAGAATCCACCTGGTTGCCAGTTCAGCCACGCCGTTCCTCTGGCGATACATGAAGAGGCTCATGCGATCGGCCCTCATCATGAAGCTCAGGTGCCTCATGAGGTTGAAGACGGACTTCTCCATCTGCAGGTTGTCCTGGATGTCCCGCACCAGGTCGAACATGATCTCACTCTCATCCACCATCGTCAGCTCGTGGAACTTGCTGATGTCCACCAGCGACTTGCGGTTGTTGTCCAGCAGGTCCGAGATGACCTTAGGCCGGAAGTTGATGTCATAGTACTGCTTGGCGAACTGCGGGTTGGCATCCAGGAACTGCTCTGCTGCTGCTGCGTCCACCATGGCTGCTGTGGACAAGGAACAGTTTGAAACTGGTAGTAATGCTTGGGTTATTGAGTGGGAGGCCATTTAAAACTAACATGGGAAAAAGACTCTTGTGGGTAAGATTGATCCACTCTCAAAGTCCTTCTTTCCACTTCAAGAAAGATTCATTGCTCAGCGTCACTTGAGGACGAAACAAATACACAACAAGCAAACAACAGATTCATTCCCAATATTCCTTCATCTCTGTATCTGACTCCTTACACACGAAGCATTACGTTTTCTTCACCATTCACCTGCAAACTTTGTCTTTTGTAGTTCCGCGCTGTGCAAGTCGTGTATACTGGATTTCTAACAGGTAAATGTGAAAGAAATGGGGTTTTAGTGAGCTCTGAGACTGAATCACAAAGTTAATGAGCTGTAAAACCAAAAGAAAGAGCTAAAAGATGTTTAAAAAGGAAAAAAAAAAAAAAAAGATCAGTTGGGATTAATTGTCTATACGTTTGTCATTACTAGAGAACCCAGACGGCAGACATATTCGTATACCCTATGACACTTATAGGACACTTTATATCATCGTTAGGACGTTGTTAGTGCTAGAAATCGGTGGGTGTCACCACCTCAGGAAAGGTGAGACTTCCTACATCTGTTCTACTGTCCGAATGTCTTTGATACCTCACAGAGAAAATCATCAAAAATAAGGTATGAGAATAATCCTGCCAAACCTTCATTAGTGTCCCACAGATGTAACAGATTTCAACAATAAGCAGATGGTTCTACCTGTTAGAGTCCTTGTGTTGTCTCCAGCAAAGTGTGTAATCCCTCTGTCCTGCTAACCAACTCAACTGCAGATGTCTGAGAAAAGAAAAGGGATTACCAGGATGGTTTTAAATGGTCATGTGTGAACATAAGCCTGCATCCAATTACAACACTGGGATTACGATACCTTCCAGTGTTTAATGACACTATCTGGGATTCTTTTCTTTGTCTCACCGCGAGACACCGTTAACGCTGATTGCTCCTGTGCCGGGCCACAAAAATCTAAATGTGCATGAAGCGTGTAGGATATTGGATTCAAAGATTTCCTTCATGACTCATATGCCAGCTACTTGCTTGCATGTTTTCTTTTTTTTTTTGGCAGAGAGCTCCAACCAAAAGGACTGTTAGGCTCCTCGGACACTGATAAATTATATTTTACATGGATTTCGTTTTACTTTCACACTTGTACAAAGCAGAAATACACATATTTAATCAGACCTAATTGAGCAGATCCAAACACGGTGCACCAGTGTGAAAACTGGAAAAGAAGAGATTATTAAAATTCAATAAAAGAGTTTAAATGCGAATGAGTGTTTTATTTCACGACCAAGGCACTTCTAAACGTATAAGGTCGGCAAGCTTTCATGTGAGGCAGCTACTGAAGCTCTCAAGTGATGTAGCTTAGATTAGCAAGTTGAATAAGACAAATAAAACGTTATATTAAATAAACTAGAGGCTTATAAACTACATTTAATGATGAGAATTCCTAATTTCACTGAATGACATTTTACTTTGGTGGAAAAGCCGGCTCCATCTGCTGAGTGTGCTGAGATTTTATGTTATTTTAAAAAAAGAATTTGGATTCATTAAAGCAACACTTTAACAAAGATTCTAATTTTAGACGAATAAAATCAGTTCATTGCTTCACATAAATGTCAGTAGTGTAGGTTGCAAAAGGTGTGGCTGCTTCAAAGTATTGTAAGTGAAAAACTAAAAAAACAAAGCATGTTCAATTGATCATAGAAACTTCTCAAACCAGCCTTGTAACACGATCCAGTTGGTTTTCTGTTTGGCTCGACGCAAACACGAGCGCCTCAAGTGACACAAAGCAGCAGGATAGAGGTGGCATACCACCGTGTCTGCACCACACAGAGGACAAACTGATTATGGATTAGGATACAGGATTGGCTGGACACATGTAGATGTGTTTTGACTCTGTTGTTGACGGTCTATTTTCATTAAAACATGTAACCTGCATGTAGTGAATGGGCTTACTTTTCTATTTAAACAAACTAATGACACAGTCGTAGCTCAAGATTAACAAGGCCATGAGACAAGACTTGTAAAAACTGTTGGAGGTGTGCAGTAGCAGGTTGTTTTCTCATTTTTATGGTGTGTAACTGTGGTAATGTTGATCCTAGGAGCCTCTTTATTAGCTTCTTAAAGACATTTCACCTCTCATCCAAGAGGCTTCTTCATTTCTAGCTGTCTGGTGGGAAGTTTCTCCACCAGTCAGCTCCACAGAAGCTGATAGCAATCAGTTAAAATAAAAACAAATTCAAGCTTTATGTCTCGTCTCACTGGATCTCAGCAAAACTGTAACAGCTCGAAGTGGTGCTCCTAACGCTTCCTGAGGCACCTGTTACATATAGTGTGCTTCAGTATTGTTGGTTATGTCATAACAACAGCATGGTGTTACCCTCACTTGCTTTTCCCATAGCTCAAATGTCTCCACTCTGCGGTGATGAACCACAAACATGTGTCAGGATCACAACCTCTCTGTGGAATCTGAGACGGAGAATAACAAACAGGGAGAACAGAAGTCACAACACTGGTGAACAAAAAGAACCATACAGCTGGTTTCACTTGTAGGGTGTCAGTCAGTGAGGGTCTGTTCAGAGAGTCGCAATTCAAGAAGAGCGTTCACGATTTTGGAATCACAATCATGGATTTGGGTGTCATGTGTTTAGATAATCATTTGCTAACCCTGCTTCTGACCTTAAATACAACAAAACAGCTGCAGAGGAAGAGGAGTTCTCAAAGTCCATCCAGTGTACTGCCACTTATGTTTACAGTGTGGATCTCAGCATTAGAGCTGAACAATTACTTAATTAGCTAAATAATTACTTAATAAAAAAACAATTAAATCACAGTGTTTTTTTTTCTTTTATGAAATTACATTTGTCCCAACATACCATCATAAATGGAGCATTGTGGTGCTACAGAGATGCCCAGCATGTAAATCACATTCTCTAAATGTAAGGGAGAATGTGTTCAGCCAAACTGAGCCCAATGTTCATCTGTCTGTTGACTTTTGATCTGCCAAAATAATCAAATTTGAGCATACTGGGTTGTTTATTGCATAAAGAAGAATATATTTTGGATAGTTTATTGATCAACTCAAGATCTTATTAATGTAGAAGAAATTTCAAAGAAATATGCACTGTAGCCCCTGAAGTTGGAATATTTTTTTATTTTCAGACACATCCCTTTTTTTATTTCAGTTTATTAACATCAGCGATTACTTCTGACCAGGTGCAATGATTACATACTGAGTCCCAGTTACCAGGCCTAAAGAGTGGGGCGTCCTGCACATTGACATCATCAACAAGCTTGTGGACAGAATGCCACGATGTGTTAACACACTGATCCGTGTCAGTGTGGTCATACTCAATATTAGTGATGAACGATGTTTGAAAGAGTAATATCAGACATTCTGATACACGGAATCCACTCGAAAATATGTTTCTTGTTTAAGGGACCATCCATCCATCCATCATCTATACACCGCTTAATCCTCACTAGGGTCATGGGGGGCTGGAGTCTATCCCAGCTGACTTAAGGCGAAGGCAGGGGACACCCTGGACAAGTCACCAGTCTATCACAGGGTTACACTTATTTATTCAATTGCCGTTATGTTTCCGCTGTTCACTTTAATTCAGCAAAACAATAAAAGATTACATCAAAAGTTGTACCAGGATGTGTGATGAAGTATAAGCTTCATTTATTGCTGAAGTACAGTAGTCCTCAAATGTATTCATACCCTCCCATTAAAGAAGGAAAGAAATAGCTGTCACTGAAATAAGTTGAAATTAACAGAAGTAATACTAAATAAAAATTTAATGAAAATCATGACATTGTTTTTGAATTGTGGTTCCAAACAAATATTAAAAAAATAAAAACAAAAACAAGCAAAGAAGCATGATGGAACCCGCAAACTAATATTTTGTTGAACAATCCTTTGAGCCAATCACTGCAATCAGGTGTTTTCCATAACTCTCAATCAGACTTCTGCACCTGTTGACAGGTGTTTTGATTTTGGCCCACTGCCCATCAACAAAAAGCTCTAATTTTTCTGGGACATTTGTGTTTTGTTTTTTGTTTGTTTTCTTTTAATTATTATTTTCAACCACAATTCAAAAGCAATGTCTTATTTCACTAAATTAGAATTTAGCAATTTTTTTTATTTATTATTACTTTTTTTCAGTTTGTAGTTATTTGAGTGACTATTTTGAGTGTGAATTTTGCCTTTTCTTTAATGGAAGGGTTTGAATAAATTTGAGGACGACTGTATTTCCTTGTCTTGGTATTTTCAGGACGGACCTGTTCATCTTCTACCACGGACCATATTTGTCTGAGCCACCGGGGTGACGTAACACGTTTCACTCCTACGTCATCGCGCACGCAGCGAGGAGCCCCGTGTCAAAATGAAATTGAGGCGGAATAAGAGTCGACCGTCGGAATATAACCTGAGAATAGCTTCGTAACGGCGACTGAATCGACTCAAGGTCAGTTACTGAACACTGTAACAACACGGCTGTTTTCCGCAGAGTGTCAGAATGTCACGTTAGTGTACTTTAGCTGCTAAAGTTTCCACAGGTGTCCACGTTGACAACTTGTTTACAATGGGACCCATTCATAGCGCCGCTAACGCACTGAGTTAGGGGGTTAGACGCATTAAGAAATCCATTTAAAAGGCTTTTTTTTAATCCTGTTTGTCTGATTCAGCTATTAGGGATACTTTCATTCGGTTACATCGGACTTGGAGCTCTAAAAATACTTCCTTTGTCAGTACTATGAGCGTTTAAACAGCCTGTAAGCTTTAACGATAATCTGATTAACGTCGCTACACGTGTTTTCTGGGAAACAGAGTTAACTTTACTGTTATAGTTTAGGAAGCGACGTAAATACTACTCATCAATCTGCAGACGAACACACGCTGACTGTTAGAACACACACACACAGACAGTAATATTGTCATCAATATTTTTTTCCAGGAAGGAACCCAAGTTCATTTCTAATTCAATGACTAACTTATTTTCAACCACTAATTAAGCTGAGTTTTAACCTTCCTCCAGACTTTTTAACCTCCTTCTTCTTCTTTTTTTCATCATCTCATACTTAAAATATGATGAACTGATTGTAAAGGTAGTATGATAGTAGTGAACATGACTGATGCTGACCAGATCATTCAGTTAGTTTTAGCTTTGAGTTCAACTTTAATATGTGACGTTGATTTTCTTAATAAAAAGTAGTCATTCTAGTGTTAGTCTGTCATTTAATCTAGGCCTGTGTTTAGTCTGTCTCTGAACTTTTGTTCTGGTTAGATGGAACAATAGTCTAGTCTATCTTTCAAGGACCTTTGGGAAATTGAATATCCATGTTTTGCAGTTTTGAAGGTTACTAGCTTTGATAGATGGTGCAGTTTTGGCATTTAAATAAAAATACAACATGTCTTTTAAACCCAGTGGCAGCTTTTTGGTGAATTCTGCTAAAAAAATGTTTTAAAAAAACTAAATGTAAGCACATTGGGCTGCTTATACCATCCTGTAGGATAAATTCTTGTAAAGTTTGTGCCAAGATGTTCAGCACTGATCTTTTTCTTTATTGATGAACAAAAGATGCTTAAACTATACTCATCTCAGTTGAAATGTAATAGCTTTGTGTTAGTTCTTGTTTCACTATTACAATGCTCTGAATCAGCTGATGTCAGTTAGTTTCAACGTGTGATTAAGACTTTCTCATTTCAATGTAGTGTTTTTAGTCCTTTAACAGTCAACTAAGAGTCCCTCAAACTAAGCATATTTTTACTAGTCTGTGAAGATAACAAAATGTATGAATATTGGGCTGTTTATGCCATAAAGTAGGATAAATTCTGGAAAATTCATGCCAAGATGTTCAGCAGGGATCCTACAACAGCGTCTTTTTTTAAAAGGACAAAATACTGCTGCTACGATTAAACATAATAATTTTGCTTATTAATTACTAACCATTAGAATTTCAGGTTTTCACCTCTACATGTGACTTTCTCATTAAAATGCAGTCATTCATTGCATTGGGTTGCTTTACAGCGTACCGCTTGATCAGACATCCAGTCACCAGAAGCTCAACCCTGTTTGCATAACGTCCAACATTAATCATCACTGCACATTAAGAACAACATATCAGCGGACTTCCATTGTCATTTTCCTCATTCCTGCTTACTCTGTACCTAGATATCAGTACTGGTGATTAACAGGATGTACCTATTTTTCTGTGCAAGGGTCACTAAAAGCGTGAACAGAAATGTATGAATAAGGAGAAGTGCCTTATCTCTATTGTGATGTAACATTAGAGGGAGGAAATATTGGGCCTCCCTAACATGTCAGAAACGTATAGTCATGTCCACACCCACTGAACCCACTGACCCATTAATAGCGATTGTCTGAAGATCTCCCACCTCGCTCACACACTCAAGTCACAAGTTTCATAACGGACTCCTTTTTTTGTTTGTTTGTTTTTATTGAAATTTAAGCTCTTCAAGTCCACTGAATAATTTTAAATGGTACAAAGGTGCGCTTACATACTTTTATGTCACCAAAAAACTGAAAAATCTAATAAATTGAATAAAAACTGACCTTTTTTTTTTAGAAATTAGAAAAATGCAGCAATGTAAATAAATTACACCTTTGAATTTAACAATTTCTACAGATGCACCAACTTTAGCTGACTATTTAGAAGCCATCTCTCTATACAAAGGCAATGCTGGGACAAACTGTGTGACTTTACCCTGCGAGGCGCTGTTAGGACAATGCTGTGCTGCAGGAAGTAGTGCTGAATATTGCTGCCAGAATGGTGAGAGAAAGGCAGCTGACAAAGGAAGACAGACACAAAACAATAGAAAAACAAGAACTACATGGTGGAGCTGACGGGATAGAAGACCAGCACGGTCTCATCCAGCTCGTCTGAAATGAAATGAACAGTGAGGTGAACGCAGCCTACAAGTGCGACACAGCTTTAGCAGCTGTGTTGTGGCAAACTCTCCATAAAAGGGTTAATTTCCACTGGAGAAGAAAAAATGTTCCTTTAAGGATTAACATCATTTTATCTTATGAGCTTGTTTAGCTGAGGGATGAGTTAAAATGTGGGTTAAATGTAAAATTTTTCTGATTCCTACATTTAATAACAAAACTTTATTTATTTCTTCTATTTTAATTTCAGAGCCCACTGAGACATTTCACAACATACATTTCAGTAACGACTAGAAAAAAAAAAGGAGGCGTTCTAAACCTTTTGCCCGATAGTGCACTCTGGTTGTTCGAGGTGAAGGTGATGTTACTACTTAACTTTTTCTCCACATCACCACAGATAAGGCCTCAGCCATGGCTCATGGGAACGACTGCCGGCCAGCGCTGGAAGATGGAGCCGACCAGCAGCAGCCTCTCATTCTGGATAGAGTTGAAAGAGAAACTGGGAAAAAATGGCAAACCGTCGTGTCCAAGCGGCTGAAGAAACACTGCACGCCACAGAAGGCGAAATCCAAAATTCTAGGCTTTGTCCCAATTCTGAAATGGCTGCCACAGTACCAGCTCAGGGACTGGATCCTGGGGGATGTTATGTCAGGAGTGATTGTGGGAATCCTATTGGTCCCCCAGTCCATAGCTTACTCCTTATTGGCCAGTCAGGACCCCATTTATGGCCTCTACACGTCTTTCTTCGCGTCCATCATATATGCCCTGTTAGGCACTTCCAGACACATCTCAGTGGGGATTTTCGGGGTGCTCTGCCTGCTGGTGGGCCAGGTTGTGGACAGGGAGTTAGCTCTGGCAGGATACCTCACAGAAAGCAGCAGCAACAGCAGCGACGTCCTGCTGGCCGGTCAGGGGAACGGCAGCATTGGCGTAGCGTGTGACAGGAGCTGCTATGCGATCACAGTGGGAGCAACTGTTACCTTTACTGCTGGGGTTTACCAGGTAAGTGTTCAGGCACAATCTTATGCATCATGACGGACAGACGTGATCATGTTAGTATGAACAAATGCTTCTGTTATGTTCCATGGTGTACGGCAAACTACTAGAGTATTAAAACAGAGCATTCAGTTCAGTTAAAGTTCAGAACTTCGATAGACTTCGATAGAGTCCTCTGCCACCGACCAGCTGCAGTTCAAAACTTTAGCTCTTTACACTGGACTTGTATGAATGACGACGCCAACGATTTAAAAAATGAACCCCCCATGTCTGTGTTTCATGTGGCACTGCTGAAAAGTAACGGCGAAATATTCTTCACTGCATCATCTAATCGCTCTTCTAGATTTTGCTTTTATGACAGATTTGAGTTTTCTGTGATTTCCATGCTGTGAAGTGACATGAGCCTCCTGAACCCAAAACACTCCAAACTTTCATTAATAATTGCCAAGGCAGCCTTTATAATCCTCGAGTGGGAAAGAGGCAGAAGAAAAAGTGCCCAGAAAACAACAACAAAAAAAAACTTTACGTGATGAGATGTCAATTTGCACTGGAGTAATATAATCACAGGACCTCTGTGTTTGGTGAAACAGGGATGGTAATTTGTGGTTTCATTTTTGGTTCATGAATTACAGACATGGTATTAATCTCACAGACAACCTTTGCAATTATTTCTAATAACGATAAGTCCAAAGGTAAAACTAATCCTGTGTGAATAGGGCTGTTGGATGTTTGTTTCCTGCCTGGTTTGGAACCTGTTTATCTCCTTCTCTCAGGTGCTAATGGGACTTTTGCAAGTCGGCTTCGTGTCCGTCTACCTCTCTGACTCCCTTCTCAGTGGCTTCGCGACAGGAGCTTCCCTGACTATCCTCACTTCCCAATTCAAATACCTCCTGGGCTTGAAGATCCCCCGTCCCCAGGGCTGGTTCACCCTGTTTAAGACCTGGTACAGCCTACTCACCAACCTGGGGAGCACCAACATCTGTGACCTCGTCACCAGTTTGGTGTGTTTGGCGATACTGTTACCTACAAAGGAGCTCAACGATCGCTTCAAATCCAAGCTGAAGGTAAAGAAGACAGATTAAGATATATCAGTTTTGATGTTTAATACACTGCAACCATTTCCCAGATGGTAACTGTGTTCCAAAACCAATACCTATCATCACCACAAAGCTTTGTCCGCCGGTTAAAAAATATAAATAAATAACATTTGAAAGCCTGTTGCTGTTTGCTCACTGCGATGCTACGACATGTCGCTGTGAGTTGGTCGATCACTTGGTCTCTCTCAGTCCAACTCTTTGGTCCAAAGTCAAATATTGAAGTTTGGATTGTGCTGCTTCAGCCATTCTTTGCCAGTAATGCCTTTAGATTTATCCAACAAGCCTTTCCTCACCATCCACAGGCCAAACGTGACTTGAACAACCCCACTAGTGGTAATGCTACTAGAATAACAGAATGACTCTGTTTATAAACTATTCAGACTTATCTTATCAACTGTACATGATGTAATGTTACGTATTACACAGTAGACTTACTCATTGATCCACTTGTGTCATCTCGTTTACTCTCTTTCCTTTCCCTCCCCCAGGCTCCCATCCCCTTTGAGCTGTTTGTGGTGATAATTGCAACACTTGCTTCTCACTTCGGCCACTTCAACACTGATTATGGCTCAGACGTGGCCGGTGACATCCCCACGGGCTTCCTCCCTCCCCAGCTGCCCTTGTGGTCCCTGATCCCCAGCGTGGCCGTGGACGCCTTCTCCATCGCCATCGTGGGGTTCGCCATCACCGTCTCGCTGTCAGAAATGTTCGCCAAGAAGCACGGCTACACGGTCGACGCCAATCAGGAGATGTACGCCATCGGCTTCTGCAACATCCTGCCGTCGTTCTTCCGCTGCTTCACCACCAGCGCTGCTCTCACCAAGACCCTCGTCAAGGAGTCGACGGGGTGCCAGACTCAGATATCAGGGCTGGTCAGCGCTCTCATCCTGCTGCTGGTGCTTCTGGTTATTGCACCACTTTTCTACTCCCTTCAAAAGTAAGCATACTACAATCACATATTAATTAAGATTATTAGAATTTATTTTACTTTTGCAGATTTGCTGGAATTACAACTGCATGCTCCTAGCAATTGATTAGAAAATGAGTCTCGCATAATGTTGAAGTCAAAACAAGACATAGAACCATAGACTGTATAAAAGATGGACGTAGCTACCGTGACGTCACCCGTTGGTTTCTGCACTGAGAAAATGAAGCCAGGGTTTTGCTACTTCCTGGTTGACATCTTGGATTTTTGGAGCCAGTGATGCAAAAATCGTTGGAGGGGGGCGGAGCCATAGGAGCAGCGATTGGTCAGACGGATTGAGAGGCGGGCCCTCTCTGCCCGCCCACATTTACCGCCTTCTGCTCGCTTCGTCTGCATCGTCGCTGCCGACTGTCAATCAAGCCAGCCACGCCCCTTGCCCCGCAAAATGTTGATGATTTTTTAAAAATTCAGTATTGATTTATTTTCAGATTGGCCACCTGATCTCTGGATTTGACTATGAAAACTAATAAGATAAAAATCCTGAGCTGTAGGAATGTGGTATTTCGTGATCTGTGATCACTTCTTTTCCAATTCATTTCTATGGGAGCCAGGGCTTTTTGGAGCCAGCAGCTAGTGGACGTAGTGATATTGCAGGTTTTTGACACTTCCGGTTTGGCTTCATTTTTCAGGGCCAGTTGCTACGTCCATCTTTTATACAGTCTTTGCATAAAACACTTACAGTTGTTCAGTACATGTTTGGAAGCCATGTGTACAGTGGGTGCACATTTAGTAAAGCAACCCTGAATGTCTTATGTTCATTCTACGAGCGACAGCCAAGCCTGGCCAGGCACGATGTCATCGAGTTGCTTTTTAGCGTTCGGTGAAGTGCTTGTTGACGTTGTTAATGATGTGGTACAATGAGATTAAGATTAAATACCACTGGGACCTCGCGCACAGCAAAAACAGGTTTTACTTCCTTTTGTCAGACGGGACAGATCAGGAGATTGAAGGGAATCAAAGAAAGGGAAAATGGTGAAACAAAAACATATGATTGGTTTGATGCTTCACTGTGTCACTGAAGCACTGAAAAACAGTTGAGGCTTCACTTTGATCGGCAGCATGTCGGGCATCAGTTTGTAGCTTGGAGTCAGTTTGTTTTGCACCGGTAGTCTGAACACATCATAATAACCTAAAGATGTAGCCACTTCCTAAAGTATCGCTGATTCCTGCAAAAGCTGGTTAGAGCAGTTGGGTTAAGCTGATCTTAGTGGTCGGGCTAGATATTGATATTCAATCTGTAAAATCCATGAAGAGGTGAGTTATTGTTGAGCACACATTAAACAGGAACGTCCAATTGAAGGCCATGGACATTCTGCTTCTGAGCAAAAAGAGAAGTCCACTTGCTTTGTACTGAATCTCCACTCCAATCTGCACAGGCATATGTTTTTAATGTATTTCTGAATAGTCCTCAGTAAGAAAAGAAGCTCTAAATCAAAACTGAATATACACAAAAGATCTGAATTTACCTTGTCAGCTTAGAAATATCACCACATTCATGATGACAAGTTATATAGGACTTTATCACGCAAACATGGCAAGCAAATATTATTTGAAGTAAACTCTAATCCACTTCAGGCTTTTGAATACGTTTCACACCATGAAATGTGAGTGTTTGCTTAAGGAATCAAGAGTTGTTCTCGTTTACAGGCGGTTTTTCTTGTAGTTTTTTCCTCTTGTTTGCCATGAAAGAGGTTTCAAGGATAGACTTGGACAAACACAGATAACCTTTGCTTATGGTTCAAGGTTAATGTTGACTCTGCGGTTTGTCGCCCTGCACAGGCTGAGCGTACTTCACATGTAGGACCATTAAAACACACATTGTTCTAATAGAGAAATATCCTGAAGCCACAATAAGTGATTATGGAATGAGGAACAACAAGGAACAGACATTCATACATTTATAAAAAAATGTGTAAATTGCCTAATTGAGGCGTGACTTTTCCCCCAATGGGAGATACTTGACTTTTGCCCAAGCCCTACTGTCTACTGATTGTGTTCGGAGCTCGTGGTTGATCTGCACCTTTGCTGGCTCATAGACAAAACATACAGCTTCACTCACAGTCATGTTAAATCTGCTCAGGCTGGAATGTGGTTTGATCTTTCTTCCTTCTTTCTTTTATTGTTAAATGTTTTTGCTGCTCTTTGCCCCTTTAGTCACATGATTAAAGTCTCACACACAGCCAAGCTAAACGCACTGAAGCTGACAAAGATTGTGCGATTCCAATTAAACAAATGCTGAGTTCTACTTTTTCACAATGTCACAATACATAATATGCATTTTAGATAAATTAAATGGATAGCAGCCTTCAGAGTACTGACGAGTTGCTTTACTCCATGAATACAACGACGTAACCTTTGTCTTTCCTACTCTGGTGCAGATGTGTTTTAGCTGTCATCATCGTGGTGAACCTCCGCGGCGCTCTCCGAAAGTTCACTGACATCCCCAGCATGTGGCGCGCCAACCGCATCGATGCCGCCATCTGGCTGGTTACCATGGCAACCTCAGCGCTGGTCAACACGGAGCTCGGTCTCCTCGTGGGGGTTTTGGTGTCAGCCTTCTGCGTCCTGGGCCGAACCCAGCAGGCCCACGTCCTGGAGCTGGGCCGGGCTGCGAGCAGGGAGCATTACGAGGGCCTGTCGCATTACCGCGGCCTTCAGACGCACCCTGGAGTGGCCGTGTTCAGATACGAGGCTCCCATCTATTACGCCAATCAGAGCCTGTTCAAGAAATCTCTCTACAAGTGTGTGGGGCTCGACCCCGTCAAGGAGAAATCCCGACGTGTGAAGTTTGAGAAGAGCAAACGGCGGGAAGAGGCTGCGAATGTTAAGTCAGAAGAGAAAGAGCACGCGCGTAAAGAAAATGATGCCGAAGCTACTGTAACCTTGATGCATGACAAGAAATCATCTCACAGCTCGCGCAACGTCGTGATCGACTGCAGCGCCGTCTTGTTTCTAGACACCGCTGGAGTCGGCGCTCTGAAAGAAGTCCGCAAAGATTACGCAGAGCTTGGGGTCAAGGTTGTCCTGGCCCACTGTAATACCTCAGTACTGGACACTCTGGAGAGAGGGGGATACTGCCCCGACAAAAAAGGAGGTGACGTAGGAGAGAACAAAATGATTTTCTTTACTATTGCAGACGCTGTCCACTACCTCCAAAGCCTCTGTGCTGCTAACGGAGATCATGACACCAAATGCTAAAAGGATGCTACATCTGTCCAGATATCTTTCTTTACATGTATGTAGCGTGTATCTCACATATGACAAAAAGGAAATTCTGTTGTTACCGACGTGCCTTGTACAGCGGTTCTTTCTTTGTTTAATTATTTATCCTACATTACTGCTGTGGACAAGACTTTATTTCATATTGTTGCAGCATGTTTACATCTTATTTATACGTAGACATGGAACTGTAGTGTAGATTATTTAAGGTACAAATGTAACTTCACAATCGGTTTATTTCTCTTTAGCATCAGAAGCTTTTCTCGGGTGCTTCCTGGGCTTCAAGTCAATCAAGTCATATGCACGGCGGCTATAAACTTTTATTTCATAGCAAATATTTAACTAAAATTAAATGCAATTGCGCCCTACAGTCCGTAAACCACAATCCTAAAGAACGTTGTGTGTTGTCGGACTGTTCTGCCTCGAGTCAGATAATTTCATATCTGTTGTTTGGGAAGTTTTAGTTGAGTTCTAGTAATCATTTCAAAGTTCTTCTATAAATTAAAAGCCTATAGTTTTTCTACAACATAAAATCCTAAATCAACTTCCTACCCGCTGTCCTTAATGTATTTATTTTGTAAGAGATGAGCAGACTGTGCCTGAACATGAATGTAACGAATGCAGCTTTCTCTCTTATTGGCGACAATCGAGGGACAAACGTTGGGTGAAACACAGGTTTACAAAGCCATAAAGTCGTAAACCAACACTGGAATGGGAAATTGGTAGGAAGACAAACACCAATTCAGGGTTACTTCCCATTTTTGCAGTTAATATGTATCCAGACTGCGGTGCCTTTAACCAAGCCTGTACAGCTCATGTATGTATGTCTGCAGTACATGTGTGTACTGCTCTTTATCAGGTCCTTTGACATATGAATGCCACCCGCCTTACTGTTTCAACCAGACAATCTTCCAGTGAGCTTCATCATCCAGTTAAAGTTTTTTCATACAACACAAGTCACTTTTTTTTCAAAGTTATGATCTGATTTTTAGAACAAGTCTCCTCAACTCAGATTTCAGGGCAAGGGAGGTTTTTTCTTTTAAAGAAAACAAAGCCAGAACTGAATGTGTCACTTTGATGAATTACTTCATAATGTTTGTCCTCCGTCCAAGTGTGCTGAGGGTCACGACTCGACTGACCATAGCTTCTGCCTCCCTTACTGTAGCTCAGTAAATACAGCGTTGTCAGCTGGCTGATGAATGAGGGCAAAGGTAAAGAAAAAAAAAAAAAAGCTATTGTGCAGTAAAAGCCATGTGAGATTTACGTCAAAACTGCCTACCAAAGTTTCCGTTGGTGAATTTATTGTTGAATTACGGTGGTCACACCTCTCAGGTTGGGTTCCTGGCAATATGTACGAGGAGAAGGTGCCATTGTGTTCCCTAGTTAGACAGACAGAGCAGAGGGCTGTACTGCAAAGCCAGATTAGTGGGTTAGTGAAGTATGTTGACTTTGAAGTCAGAGTTTTCGATGTCATGAAGATGGCTCTCTTTTTACCTGCTAGATCTCCATGGTAACTGATGCTGTGGAGCTAGATCTCCATGGTAACTGATGCTGTGGAGCTAGATCTCCATGGTAACGGATGCTATGGAGCTAACCTGGTCGGAAACAGGTTATGTTCAAAGTTTCGGATTTAAATCGACTGGAAAGAGCGTCTTCCTTTAACCAAATCGTTCCCTGGCTGTTATTTATGAGTGTAGTTACAGTATCACACACTGTAAATACCACGTTGCCATGGGAACCAGACATGTATTTAGTTGGCGATGCAGAAATCACATAAATATGTTTTTATGTTTGGCTCTGATTTGCTGTCAAGTCCGTTTACACTGCTGGTACTGCAACAGGTGAGAAAATGGATTATTCTGCTGGTAGTTATGACAGAGAATATTTAATCAATATGATTCATTTCGCTTTGATTTGGCCAAAAACTAAAGTGATTTCCTGCATTATGGGACAGTGTCAGACCTGAATGGACTTCAATACAAGATCATGTTTAAATGTATGAGTTTAAAGTTTAACTTTAACGTGCAGCTGTCAGTTGGAAATCAGCAGTGTTTTATATTAACACGTTGAACCATTTTCTGCCAGTATTCTACCCTTCATCATTTGCAGTAGCAGCAATTTTTACCGTCATGCATTTTTTATTTTCCTCATTGTTCTCTCATTAAAACAACCTGTTGACTGAAGCAGCTGCACGCGATCGTTTCATTTTGTGCAGAAGAAGAGTCACGTGACGCATCAAACGCCTCCTTTTTATGTGAACGCATCCCGAGTCTAAAGTAGAAAGTCGGAGTTGACAAAGAAAGACGATAACCACCTTCGTGATAGATGTAATCTCTGGCTGGGGCTTTAGGTTTTGTCAAGCCGGCTTACACAAAGAAAGCCTGGCTATGTCAAACTTGCTTCGTAGTACAGCCCTCTGGAGGCACTTCAGCAGGGCAAACACAGTCACAGAGGATTCTGTCAGGTCATCTGAGTCGAAGCCAGAACAGAGTTATTACGCAGTCATCGCTGAAACTTTTCACGAGACCCTGTTTTTAAAATCTGCGCCATTAAAATGTGAATTAAAATGTGGTACCTGGAAACAAGGACTCTTGAAAAGTTGGAAAAAAACAGAACAGTCTGGCATTAAATGTGACCTCGACTTTTGTCTCCTCGCACGAAATCAGGAGGACAAAAAGAAGGGAGCGTGATCCCTGCTGGGGATAAACTTAGATAGAGGTGTGTTGTCTACGTTTGTAGCTCTAGTTGTTGCACCATTAAACTACCTACTGACATTATTTATGCAGCACTTGTATCGGCAAAGTTCTAAACCAAAGGAGTGACATGTTCTACCGAATGCACCGTATGACATTAAAGCGATACCCAGCGAACGCTTTCACATTAAATGACTGTTGTTTCAGCAATAAAAAAACAAAAAACATCGCATTATGGCTGAAAAACAGAAATTAAGGCTGCGTCAACGACCAGAATGTTGCCTGGATGTTCTTCTTGGAAGTTCCAGCAAAGAAGAAGTTTGTTTACCTAATTTTTTTTTGCTATTTTCTTTTTTAACTCAAAAACTTGCAAGCGAGACAAAATACAAACAATGGCCCCATTAAAAACTGTCTACCATATCCCAAACCACATGGCACGCACTGACACAGGAACGTCATTTGCATGTAAATTAATAATTTCTTCTTCATATAAAAAAAAAAATAAAGTTTTTGTGAATGTTGTTTGGTCATCTGATCACAACCACTTTACAACTAAACTGCCAATCAAATTAGGAAACACTAAGATGCATGCATTTGCTTTTTTTTTAAATTAAAAGATAGTGATTAATTCCTGGCTCATCAGAAAAAGTCTGTCTGGACTATTATTGGATGTGAGAACAATGTCCTCCTCCAGCCTTACAACCACGCTGCACTCATCAGGTCTGGTCCTTAATGTCGGAGTTATTTTAAGATTATTTTTACTTTAAACCAAAAATATAACAATGCCAAAATGTGTGTTTACAGTTGTTAACTTGGGGTTTTGGGGTGATATTAGCTTTTATCTGCTTTTTGTAATTAAACTAAATGGAGCGCACAAGTAAAGATTTATTTCAGGTTGACATCTGTTTTTCTTTAACATCATTTCTTCTACATTAGCTGTTTAGTTGAAGATTGTATCATAGTTTTATAGCATCAAATAAAACCCACAGTAACATTATCTGCTGTCTGGAGCTTTCCTGGGTTTACTTATCCCATTATTAGAAAAGCATTTGAATATGTACGCGAACATATTTACATATATTAAAGACATATGCTGAATATCTTGTATAGGGCTTCTTGCTCTTTTTAAGTATGTGTCATGCATTTACAATATGCTGTATTTAACGTGTTTTAATAAGTGCCTTTGTATAGAATACTGTACAAGACTGTAATGTTTAAATAAAATACACACCAGGATGCACATGTCTAAATCACTGCAGTAGAAATAAGTTTTTCTTTAGTTTATTGGGGTGTTTGTACTTGAACATCTGCTTTATTTTTTCACTCTGTGGGTCAAGAAAGTCCGTTAAAAGCTTTCTTGGTCTATAAACGTGAATTAAAGTGAACAAACAGGGACGGACGTAGCCGTCACCAGCTGAAAACATCTGTGCATTTACAGCTACAGCTACAACTTCTGGCCCTTCATGTAGGAATGTTGTTCTGTGTGACAGAAACGTTAGGACTTGCTCTCTCTACGTCTTGGTTTTAGAACAAAAGCATCAAACCGCACCCTCTTTAAATAAACGCTTTTACAAGCCCACGAAAGACGTACCAGACTGGAGCTGAGGGAAATTGTCAAACTGGAATTTCATGTTGGTGTTGTGTGTGCGGCTTGCTGTTGATCAAGTTTCTTATCTCAAGTTATCGCTGATGTTTGTATTGTTGTGTGAAAGTTTATATTTGCCCTCACATCAAGTACACATGCAGTTCTCGCCAAGTTTAATGGCACAAAAGTAGAACGAAAGCTGCAGCTCTGCTCATCTGTATTAAAATTCGGACACGTAGTAATAGTTGTCAGTGCGTACAGAGGTGTTCGTAGCTGAAAAGTCTACGTATTCGAGTCGAGCAGTTTCACCATTTTCACACATGACTTTTGCTTCACTTCTACTGTGAGAGAATCTGAAACTGAAAAGTATCAGAGAATCAGGGTTTCTGTGTCCTGAGCTCAGGCTCACAGGATCGTCCATTATGGCTGCTACTGCTCTGCTGTCCTCTACCTCAGTAGTTACGCCGCCTGCAAGCTGTCATGAAAGATTTTACTCAGTGACCCATAAACTCAGCAGATCTAACTTGTTCACATATACCTGTAATATTATATTTTCAGAAGGCTCAACAATTGCCTATACAAACTGCAAAAAGCATTAACATGTGCTGAGCGCGTGCGGTCGGGATTCCATCGTTTTCTGCCTCCTGCTTCACAATGTCACGTACGCTCAAAGACTCTGAAAGACTACAATTCTCCAATTTCATTTAGCAGACCTTCATTTGACAGACTGAAAACAAACAAACAAAAAAATCCTCTTCCCTCCCACACAGCCTGCTGTTGGCGTCAACGTCCTATCACACTTGACCTTGTCCTATGTCTCTTATCCAGATTGTTTTCTCCTGACCAGATCCTTGCTTGTGTTCTATCTGCTCTCAGATGTACGTCGCTTTGGATAAAAGTGTCTGCTGACTGAAATTGTAGAACTGATGACTTGCAGGCGGTGTAACTACTGAGGTACAGAGCAGCAGAGTGGCAGCAGCCACAACGAACGATCCTGTGAGCCTGAGCTCAGGACACAGAAACCCTGATTTTCTGATACTCTTTAGTTTCAGATTCTCTCACGGCAGAAGTGAAGCAAAAGTCATGTGTACAAAGACAGCCAATGGGGAAGCCGCTCGACAACTCTTTCTACATGTCTGAATTTTAATACCGATGAGCAGATTTTTGACACATTTGAAAACTTGGTTACAGACACATTGTGAGACGACTTTTGTAGATTCTGGTTTGCATTGACAACTTCTTCTACATGTTGACAAATCTCACTTTGGACGAA